ATGGAATTGATTCCTAATTACAATTCCTTGTAATATGTAATTGGGACTAATTTAATTCCTAAAGGAATCATTACGACCCAGCTCTGGTTTTGAGTCATTTTCCAAGCGGTGACAATTTTGTGGCTAATAAATTTATTATACGGGTAAGTATATTGAGTACAAAACAGGGACGTGAACCGGTTTTGAACCGGAAAACCGCCTTTTTTCTATTAATTAACAGAACCATTAATCGAACCGAAATTTCCCACAAATGTTTGAACCGAAACCGAACCACTTTCTGTAAAGGTTTAAAGGTTCGTTTCAACCAATTTTCAATAGATAAATGTACCCACTATTTCTTCATTTTGTTAAACATAGTTATACCAACCATGTTTTTTACCATTTGTCAAATATTCTTCGTGTGTAAAACATTGATTATTTTATGTTATATANATAAGCGTAGCTAGAGTTGGACTTACGAGGGCTATTTTTTTATGGAAAAATTACATCGACATTGACGTCGAAAACCACAATAGGGCCGAATGTGTTTTTTGTAATTTTAACATTTTCGCTATTAATTGTTTTCATAAATCATATATTGTGCAATTTAACACAATAATCCCACGTTTCCTGTCGAAAAATTGATTATTGAAAAAAATTACTACTTTACAGTTTATTTTATCCTCCAACTCGGCTTTGTTGTTAGTGTTTAGTTTTTGCTCTTAAAATGAATAAAATTATGTCGAGCAAAAAAAAAAAACTACTCAAAAACACGAATATGTTGTAGATTTCAGACCTTGTGTGGTAGATGTGGTAGATACTCAAAGAAGTGGCAGATCTACCACAATGTGGTAGAACTTCGATCAATGGTTGAAAAGCATTCGCTCTGATCGAGTTTGTATTTTTTTTTACAGTTTTACTAGTTTTAGTCCGAGTAATCCGGGATTGAAGTTTAAAGTTTACGACATAGGTATAACAATAAGACACCGTTGTGAATACCCAAATGTACATTTAAAATAATACATATTCTCTGGAAAATTATTAAAAATAAAAAAATATACATAATTTGCAAATATCATTTTGCTTTTCGTTTCTAATTAGCTGAACGCAGGTGTACATATCTCTAGTAGATGCTTATTGTAAAGTATAGGTGTGAAATTTTCATTCAGCCATAACTTCGAAATCATACGACACATGAATTTCAAATATGGTGTGAAGGCATATCCATGGTAGGCTCTTATAGTAAGGCATAATGAGTTGATACAAGGGGGCCATAACTTCGGAACTGTAAGCCACATGCCTTTTAAATTAGGTGTGAAGATACACCTATGATAGATGTTTAAAATAAAATATCCATACCTATCTATCTTCTATCTATCTATCTTCTATATTATAATAAAACTGGGGGGCTACTCTGTAATGCGATGCGATAGGCAAATACGTCGTAAGTAATACGCTGTGGCTATTGCCTATCGCATCGCATTACAGAGTAGCCCCCCTGTAGATTGTTTGTCTGTTTGAACTCACTAATCTCCGGCTCTACTGAATGGATTTTCATGGGGCTTTACCTGGTATATAGAGAGTGACCTTGGACGTAACCTAGGGTATAAAAAAAATTAGACCTGACAAGGGGCGTTGCACCTCCCATAGGCGTGACATTTTTAATCAACCATAACTTCGGAATCATACGTCACTTGAATCTGAAATTCTGCTCTGCATCGCAAAAAATGGTGCCGACAGATGGCGCCGGAGTTGAGATATTTGGAAACCCCGTCTTTATCGTATGACCAGGAGTAACGGGTATTAACTTTATAATAAAAAGAATACGGTAGGAATATCAATGATTAAGAAGAATACGGTAGAAATATCAATGACCCCGTTTGAACGGGAAAACTTTCATCCTTGGAACAGCAGGATTATAGAAGATTACGATTACTTTTGGCAAACCTTGCAATATGTACAGATATCTCACATGTGGAAATAAGAGTTCATAACATCGAAGAAGATTAGTACTTAACCCAAATGCTATCTCAGCGCTATTATTCTTGGCCTATGAGTAAGCAAGGTTCTGCTCTTTAGTCCTTTCAACCTAAACTAATAAATTTTACATTACCTATTTTTGTATTGGTCAACGTAAAAGTTCTTATAAGGCGTCGCGAAGCAAGCCAGGCATTTGCTAGTTACGTAATAAGTTCTGCCACTTTTTAAATTATTAAATGCTACTTTATATATATTTTGTACATACGTAAAAGGTTTTTCGCCAGTGTGCGTTAGCGTATGGACCTTCAAAACGCTTGAATAGGTAAAACTTTTGCCACAGGTACCGCAGACGTACGGCCGTTCATTTCGATGTATTCTAGAATGAAATTTAGTTAAGAATTTCTATTTATTTTGAAGGAATTTTACCTCTCATGCTTAAGCATTGTTGAACGGTCTGAAAATGTGCGTTTGCAATACTGACACGCGTATGGCCGCACCCCAGTATGTTTCCGTATATGTCGTGTCAGTTGAAAATTGAGGTGAAACGATTGACCACAGATTCTACGACAAAAAAGTTTGCGTTGTATTCAAATTATTTCCAATAAGTCAATCTGCACAAAGTACATAAACCTTAACTAAACTTACTCGCACTCGTATGGACGCTCGTCCCGATGACGCCTCATATGCGCGTCCAGCGCATACTTACGGGGATATATATTACCGCAGATGTCGCATATATGTATATGTTTTTCTTTGCTGAGTTGCCTTTCATTTCTCACTCGTATCACCGCCGCGCCATCTGATGTGATACCAAGCGTTTTCTTTGATTGGCTGGGGTTTGGTTTCTGCTGCTGAACACTTTGAGAATGCTGCGAGATTTCTCCAAGATCCTCGACGATCAAATCCTCTTCATTCTCTTCATCCTGTATCCACACTTCCGAGTAAATTGCCACGCCTTCATAATCTGTTGCATTTTGTGTTTCATTGGCAATGTGTTCGGTTTGCTGGGTTAATTGTGCATTAGAGTTATATTCCATTACATTCTCTGAGTTATTGTCTTCCTCTCCGTAGAGCTCAGAAGATTTGCAGACAAATTTCCGTAAATAATCGTCAGAATTTTTGCATATAATACGAAATTTATGAGCAATAGTGAGGAAAGCATTGCACTTTTTGCAGATACGCGTCGGAAGCTCCGGCTCGGTTAGGATCTGCAGTACGATTTGAGAATTGTATAGTTAGGTATTTGAAAAATTGTATGTGTTTTATTTGCCTTTATGCCTCCACAGTTTTCAATTTTTTCGTAAAGGCACACCGAGTTCGCATCTTGATCGAAGATAGATGCCATTTCCTCCCCTTCTTCACTACTTTGAAGGCAAATGCGGCACATCAGCAAAGTATCCACCTCAAGCTTTATTTCCATCATCGAGCAAAATTTTTTATTTGTTCAAATACGGGTTTCAAGTAAGGACACGAATTTCGATACAATACGATACCATATCGATACTTTTGGCATTCGATACTGTTATTTTCTACTCGATAGTTTTAAAACGATATATTTTTGGTATCGACTACCAAATCTCTAGTGTCGTATCGAATGTCATAAACTCACATTACGAGGATGTTGTTGTTGTAATGTAATACCATGTTCTGACCGACAACGAAAACACTTTGAAAACGAGTTTTGGAATTGTGGGCTGAAGGCTGTTCACACCAGCTGTTAGTGTTTTCGTTGACATTTCTTACATCCTCTCACTGCAGTTTTGCTACACAAAAACAAAACCAAAATACTTTTCCCACGTTTTCTTTTCATTAGCAACTTCTTACTTTTATTCTTATTTTACTTTGGCCAACCAATTAACAATAAATACGAAATAGCGTATTAAAGATGATAAAATATGACTTCCACTTCGATAAATAATCGAAAAAAACTGGGGAAGACACCGATTGGAATGAGTGGAACATGAGTTTTCAAGTAGTTTTCAGCGAAAACTGGTTTTCGTTTGACAGATTTTACATGAACGAAAACACATGTTTTAGGTCGAAAACCAGTTTTAGCAACGAAAACATGTTTTCGATGTCGGTCAGAATATGGTATAAACAAACAAACGTTAAAAATGGAACAGTAAAGAACAATCGACGAACTATCGATTGCACTACATAAATCTTAATAGGGGTCNTTAATAGGGGTCTTCATCTAAAGTGATAGATTTTTTAAATTTATCAGTTTATCCACTTTCTTTCATGCACGCGCCTTGGTAAATAATTGCAAAAAACTGTTTATTATTTAACTNTGACAGATTTTTTAAATTTATCAGTTTATCCACTTTCTTTCATGCACCCGCCTTGGTAAATAATTGCAAAAAACTGTTTATTATTTAACTAGTTTCGTTTCATTCCTACCTTGTACATTGTGTCCATTTGCTTTTGTGTGTTCGTAGCAAAAACGAATATCTGGCAACCTGTAAGGGTTGAATTTTGCTAAAATTTATACATTTATCCATCAAATCTGTTTGATTAAATATATTTCCATACAAAGTTTGACAGTTCGTATATTAAAATGATAAATTTTTCACCTTATCAAGTTTATCAAGAGTTAGAGATAGAACTTTTTAGAAAAGTATCGATACTAGTACTCATTTATAATACACTAAAAAAGAATCGATGCCAGTACTCATATTTGCAAAAAAGTATCGATAATACTCGTACTTCCAAGTATTTTTAGGGCAAACGCGAAAAGTTAACAAAAATCAGATTGCTCTGTTACATATACATATGACCTCTTTCTTTTTGTAAATTGAATAGGCATTGCATTGAAGTCTGATCTAACAATGAACGTTATGCCCATGGGATAATTTTGAAACATTTCTCAATGTAATTGAAAAAAAAAAATTACCTAATCAAGTTTTTAAAACGTCTATACTTTTCGGTATTCGCGATATTTACTCAGTACTTGTCAAAAAGTATCGAGTCCTCGATAATACTAGGTACTAATGAAAAGTATCGATATTCTGTACTCGGTACTCGTACCGTTCTATCACTAATCAAGAGTTTGTCACTTTTGATGAAGACCCCTAATATTTATACTAATGGTTCAATGGTAAAACAAAGTTTTGGCAACGAAAGAAAGCAGAATTCATTGCCAACTACATATTTGCGTATTTACCTCGGGCGGAACTTATTGCCTTGGCGTGCGCTGAGTATAATAAGAAATAAACAAAATGGGGGAGCAGTCCGAAGGTAAATGGATTATTTGTCGTATTTGTTTGAAAACCTCCGAAAAAGAAATGTCTCCTATATTTGGTACGGGCGCCATTGAAACAAGCTTATCATATCAAATTGCAGAGTACGGCTTGATTAAGGTGGGTATCCTTAAAAAAGTTATACATTTGACATAAAGTCAGTATCCATTGTTTAATTTAGCTGAGCGAAAGTAATGCATGTCCTAATCGAATATGTGAGAAGTGCTTGTTATTGCTTAAGGCGGCTCAGAAGTTCCGCCAACTTTGCCAACGCTCTGCAAAGCAGTGGAAGGATTTGCTGCAATTAAGTGAATGTGGAACAGAAGCTAAAAAAGATAAAACAGTCATAGAAGAAATATTAAATAAAACTATTTGCGTAAAGCAATTAAATGATGTACCATCAATGGAAAAATCATTGGTATTGCATGAAGAGCAACAAAAGGAAGAAGGCGACACTGTTGACAGTTATGTTTTTGAGGTCATTCATGACGTGGATGAGGATTGCAATGAAGGAGGTAATCATTTACTGGAATCAAATGATGGAGAGGTATGTCAACACGAGATTTCGATGTTAATAATTAGAAATTAGAATTGCCAGTGAATTTAAATCAAGTATGAAGTGAGCGCGTTGCCAATATTTCAATAGGAAGTTGTGTATTGTCCGTTAGTTTCACAGGTAGTGCTTATTTTTTGAATATCGTACAATAAAATTCAATTTATTGAGGATACATGAATACAATAAGGTACATATCGACACCTGACTGGAAGATCGACCTATCTCGTTCGTTCCCACGACAGTCGGGTCTACGTAACCGGAACGACCCAGATTTATATCTGGCCAAGGACTGTCACTCCAGCAACACTCCCCAAAAAGTCTTTGGGGAATTTGTATGCTGCTACAACAACAACATCGACCTATCTCAGAATTTTATTGAAGAAACCCCTACCTCAGAATTCGGTTCAAAAACGCCCTATCTCAGCTGCCGATTCAAAAACGCCCTATAGCACCACATTTTCAATACATTTTCATTTGAGATAGGGCATTTTTGATATCTGAGATGGGTCGTTCTTCAACCAAATTCTGAGACGGCGTTTTTCAATAAAATTCTGAAATAGGGCGTTCTTCATTCAAATTCTGAAGTAGGGCATTTTCGAACTGGCTGCCGAGATAGGTCCACTCAGGTGTTGATATATGTACATACATATGCACAAGAAAAAAAAAATTGTGAAATATACAAACAAAAATTATTTAGATTAATTAAGTAGTTGACTAAATGCCATATATGTATATAAGTACACATAATTAAATATGTTCATAACTTTTTTAAAGAAGATAACAATAATAAGCAATCCATACGAAAACATGAATATTTTAGATGTATCGATATACAATGTACAAACACTTAAATTTACTTTCGATTCCTCTAGTTTGGTGAACTTGACAACGATCGTATGGCGTTTTTAGAAGATAACTCTGCAGCCAATTCCGATGAGCTTACTTACTATTCAAACTCACAATTTGAAGTATTAAAGCATGAGGAAACGCTCAGTTCAGATGTACCTATTAACAAATTCTTTTATGATGAACCACAAGCAGAAAATTTACATGAAGAAAAATCAAAAAGAAATGACCATGAATTCGAAATTAGCACGAAAACTGTATCGGTTAAATCACAAGTTACACGTGGTCGAAGAAAAATATCTAATATTAAGAAGCCTTCACAAAAGAATAAATCAAGGTACGGGGGTGATTCTTCGAATGAGTGGGCGAAGAAAGCACCAAGTAATTATATATGCAGCTTTTGTGGCAATGTTTACACTGAGAAGGCAAAATTGACATTGCATCTAAGGATACACACCAAGGAGAAACCGCATGAATGCGAGTAAGTAGATTTGTAAGTATACAAACTAAAATAAATAAAATTAAACTCTTCTCTTTAACATATACATATGTATCTGCGTACGAAAATATGTAGAATTTGTCATAAACGATTTTCGCAGACTCCACAGCTTACACGTCATATGAATTCGCATACAGGAAATCGACCTTTTAAATGCAAGTTTTGTGAAGCCAGCTTCGCCGATCCTTCTACGTGTATTAAACATCAACGGTGCGTTACAATTAGATTCCATACATTTTCTGAAGTTAACTTTTTTCTAATTTAATGTACTTACATACATATGTATAGCATTCATACACAGGAGCGTCCATACGTTTGCGACACTTGTGGAAAAGCCTTTTCTTATTCAAATGTACTGAAGGTCCACGTTATGTCACATACGGGGGAGAAACCATATAAGTATATCACTTTAAGTAATTCCATGGTGTTCTAGTTAAAGATGATGATTTGTTTTTAGTTGTAAATATTGCGGTAAAAAATTCACCCAAGCACACCACAGAAGCACCCATGAGCGCATTCATACAACGTGAAAAAGAGGAGGTATTTTACCAGGATCCTTTTGTCAATTTAATTGTATTACTTCAGAAATTTTCCACAGGAAATATAACAATTATGTTGATTACGATTTTAAAGCATAAACAGACGGCAGCGTTGATCCGGATCAGCGCTGCCGTCTGTTTAAGCTTTTATTTTGGACACCTACCGCTTTGCCCGCTGCAAATTCTTTTTTTTTTTTTTTGCATTCATAAGGAATTTACATGATTTTCAAAAGCGATTAGTTGAATCAAAAGTTGAGCTAAAGCAGGCAGCCGGCGAACTTCATTGAAAGCGATAAGTTGAACAGCCGCTTACACCAGGCGATTTTTGCTTTCAACTAAAAGTTACCTGAAAAATCGCCTCATGTAAATTCCCTATTAGAGATTTTTGACGATGGAAATTCAGCGTAGCGGTTTCTAGAATACCACTCTCGTGAGCGTTAACTTTAGTTTTAGCCGGACATCCTTTATAAGGATCATACACTGTGCCCGGAAGTTAGTCCATTTTGGGCGAAAAAGTTATTACATTTGAAAGTGCTGCGATCAAGGCGAATTTATACAAGGTGGTGTTGATGGCGAATTAAGATTTTCGCCGCGGTAGTTCCCAGTGTCAAAATGATGTGTTTGTTGTAAACAAGGCGAATTCATATTACAACAAACACGTCATTTTGACATTAAGAAGTACCGCGGCGAAAATCTAAATTCGCCATCAACACCACCTTGTATAAATTCGCCTTGGTGGTGTTACTGGCGAATTTAGATTTTCGCCGCGGTACTTTCAAATGTCAAAATGATGTGTTTGTTGTAATATGATTTCGCCCTCTTTACAACAAACACATCATTCTAGCGTGAGGTACGCTTTCAGGGCTGTTTTTGGCACCCGCGGGCTCGTGTGGAACAAACCTATAGTAAGGTAGAACCGTTCTCTCAATTCTTCGGCCATTATTTTTGTTTGCAGTTTGTAAGCATTTTAAAAGCATCTAAAACTGAAAAGGATCGAAATTCGTGAGATTGGTATCACTAGTACCACTACTGGTATTTCGAGTTATTTTATATTGATTTAGAATTATTAAACCAAAACATAACAACAAAGAAAAACCAAAGGCAGCACAAACTACGAATGCGTCGGAATTGCTGATAGCATTTCACTCAAATTCGTGGCGGGATTTCACTCGGAATCTGTGATAGGCCTGCTAAAAATATGATTAAAAAATTGGAAATTTGCATGAAAATTTATCGACTCTTCATGAGTTTTGAACTGAGTTTAGAAACTAAATTTTTTGTTTTTTGTTATATTATGAACTATGTTTTATAAAAAATAGCAAAAAAATTTAAATAAAAAATTTTGAAAAATTCTGTGAAAAACAATTTTATAATCCAGTGAAATTAATTTATGTTTAAAACCTTTTATTTCTTTATTGAAAAATAACTGATACTATCGACTTTTTTCACTCTCTTGTTCTTACGTGATCTTGTGTCTTTCGTTCATGTTATCATAGCCAAGTTTTAGCTATGTGGACGACTGCATTTGGATTCATGGCCTTTAATGCCAGTTTACATACAACTTTGGGGTTGCGTTGGCGTTGGCGTCGCCTCGACAACTGACTATGAATACATGCATTTATATGAAAGCCGCACATAACCATAATTGGGCAACGGCAACGCAAAAGCAAAACAGAAAGATGGCCAACTCTCAACTTTTCGCATGCGTCGTTCGTCAGCCCTTCCAATTAATCAAACTTATGTGAAATAATTTTCCTTTTTAATCAAATGCGTGCAAGAAATATAGTTTTTAATGCAATTATTGATATAAAATTCTGATTTATCTGCCGCTAGTATGTTAATTTAGTGACCAAAGTATTCGCTGCTAAGCGTTCATTGTAGCGAGCACGGGCGTAAATCGCGCTGCTGTCAAAGCGACGCCGACGCCAAATCCCACTCTCAACTGTTAACTTGCCTTTAATTTTTAGTACTATCTCTTTTTGTACTTAACTGAATATAAAATCAACCCTGTATATGCGCTGCCAACTGAACCCGAATTCGTTCGGACAGGACATCGGCTACCATTTGTTGTCAAAAGGTGAAAAGCGGACTGGCATCGCGTCACAGCGTTCTCGTATTGTAAAATTTTCTCAAAAACAAACGTCTTACTGGGTGCAGTGGCACACAAAAAAATCAAAATAGCAATAATTAGTTATGAAGACTAGTTTAACCGAAAATTGGATTGTTTGCCGGGTTTGTCTGAGGCAGCCCGAAGAGACGATGACGACAATATTCGATAAGGATGATGAAAAAGATATGACGCAAATGATTTTGGAGTGTGGCGGGGTACCAGTGCGTATTTCATGTAGCTGCGCGCGGAGCGGCCATCAGTGCCAGCGCCTCCGTAGGGGTTGTGTTTGTCAACAATTATTATCCTAGGTATTTCTTTGCAGATAAAACGTTTCGACCACTATCCGGATAAAATATGTACCAAATGTCTGAAGTACTTACAAGTGGCGTACAAATTTCGCGTTATTTGCCAACGCTCACACAGACATCTTAGTAGATTTATAGCGCCAGTTGTGGTGGATACCCACATACAGGAGGAAGTTACAGACTATTTTCCAATTGAAGTAGATGAAGTAGAGGAGATAGCTTTAAAAGTAGAACCAGATGCTGCTCAAATCAAACAAGAATACTCGGATCCAGAGGAGGCAGAGGTCTTGGACATTTATGTGCCAATTGACGAGGAAGAGGAGGTGTTTGAGGAATTCGATACAATTGATGTAAGTAGGAATTTATGAAATAAGTAACTCGTATAATTTAGTTATGATGACAATTATAGCGTTCAGCTTCGGCTATGTCGGATGGAGTAGAGTACCTAGAAGAAATTAATGAATTCCAATATGATGATGATGATGAGGATTATGTACAAATTAAAGAAGAAACACCGAAGCGCGGTAGAGGACGACCACCTAAGAATTTAAGTAGACCGGAAGCATCGACATCAAAACAAGCGGCAGCTCGGCAACCAGTAATCAAGAAAGAAAAATGTTCACCAGCCAAACGTGGCCCAAAACCAAAAAAAATTAAACCCACAACCTACATCTGCGATATATGTGGAAATATCTATCCATCGCAGGGGCGTTTGACCGAGCACATAAAATTGCATAAGGGTATAAAACCACATGAGTGCGAGTAAGTATTGTTTTAAACAGGAAAATGTTTACATCAAATAAATTTTGTGGCATTCGATTACAGAATTTGTGGACATTGCTTCGCACAGACACAGCAATTGACGCGTCACATGAATACACACACCGGAAATCGGCCATATAAATGCAGCTATTGTCCAGCAGCTTTTGCCGATCTTTCCACTCGCAATAAACATCATCGGTGCGTATAATCTAAGTTATAACTCGACACCAAACTTTTCCGACGTTGCTACTCAGCAAACATTTGGAGTCTAAAATGAGTCTTTAAGGAGTCCAATTACGGGCATTTACGCTCATAATGAGCTCATTTAACAGTCGGATATCGGGTGTTTCCCTTCCCCCGAAGGTCGACTTATATGAGCTTAAATTCATACATCAAATGAGCCACAATATGAGTCATATTGGACTCTTATCGGCCTCATATACGGCTCATTTTGGAATCTTTTAAAACAAATTTTGGACTCATATGAACAATTTCAGACTCTTCCTAGGATCTTATCGTCCTCATAAATTATTACATTCGGACTCTTATTTTAGGTTGTCCTTTGAGTCTTATTGAACGCAGTATATTTGCAAAGGCCTTCAGCAAAGATTTCTTTCCAATAACATAAATACATACTTACGTGCATATACACACATTTTTTGTTTTTGAAACTCTATTTAATTGCGAAAAAATTGTAAAAAATTCGCCATTCGCCATTTCTTTATAAAATAGAATAAACATGTTTAGAGAAATTGGTTTTGTATATTTTTGTTTGATGTTTTTTTTTTATTAATCATTACTTTTAAAAGTACCTGGTATTTATGTACATTGTTACTTGTGAAGTATACGTTCTCCAATCAGATGGTTCTTTAAATACAATTTAAAAAATGTTTTACTTTAAAATTTGTCTGATTTAATAAATATCGCTAGCTTAGATGGCAAAGTTGCTAATTCCAAATTTAAAAATTTTACAGGAGACGAAAAAAACTTCTTATAGCCATTTTCTTCAAGTATTTTGCAAAACTTTGATTAAAACATTTTGTTTCTACGATTTTCCATAGCATTCACACAAATGAGCGGCCGTACGTGTGCGATGTTTGCGGCAAGTCCTTTACGTATACAAACACCTTAAAATTCCATAAGATGATTCACACAGGCGAGAAGCCACATGTGTAAGTTTTACATTTTTACATACACACATACATATGTACATATGGATATCTATTCATGAACACATTTTTTCTTTTTGCTTAGTTGTGATATTTGCGGCAAAGGATTCCAGCAGGCTTACAAGTTGCGTAATCACAAAATGACCCACGAACGTAAAGGTGTTGGAATCAAAATGGAACCGATCGAAGTGGAAGCGTTGGAAAGTTATCAGGAAGTAAATCCAACAGCAACACAGGTTATAGAAATTTAATTGTTTCCCTAAGGTGGAGAATGTGACTTATTGCCAAACATTTTCACCGCATTTCCCATTTGTGCAGTAAGTCACTTGAACGGGAAAAAAGGGAAATGTTAATCAATTGCACCTAAATAAATTTTAATTAATTTAATTTATTATACTTGCTTGTTATAAAATGACATTCACTGAAAGAAATTACGTTTTAGACCTCCAATAAGGTAATGTACATTTCGAGCTGAAATTACTTGATTAAAGCTCAGAGTTTTCAAATTATAAAATAAATACAAAAATAACTTATGGTACCTATTACTTGAACCGTACTAATTTAGGATGCTCCTAAGAGATGAAAATTACATCTCTAGCGCCCTCTTTTTGTCCGTTTATTAGCATTTCTTCCTCATACAATACGCATTGCAACTGAATTTTTAATTTTCTGTGAATTGATCCATGTTCGAATATTGGGAACTATCTACAAAAACGCTATACCTAATATATTTTAAATTGTCTACATTCATATATCGAGCTACTACCACAATTTCAATCTATTTATGATGCATCTAACAAATATTTCGTTAGATCGAGACGAGGTGTCGTTCTGAGTCGTCTTCTGCATCTTCTGACTTGGAAAGGCTGAGGCAGAGGAAGCGGGCAATGTCGTTACTGGTAGTTTATAATGCCTCCAGTGTCAAGGACATCGAGTTGGAGGTGATTGGGAAGAGGTGTTGGGTGTTGTGTGGATCTTGCTTCACATTATTGAATGGGATCCTTCGCTGAGATCAGAAAAACTACAAAAATTTTATTAACGGATTCAGAATCAGAGGCCCTTATTATGAGCTGCATTCGATTTTCGATCTTCGCTGGCTATCGAAGATCGAAGATCGAAAGTGAAATTCGTATTATGAGCTATGCAAGCGTGTCGAAATTTTCGTTGAGTATCGAATTTTCTGTCGAACAGAATTTTGCTTTCGATGGTGTAGCGAAGTGTTAGAAAATTGTGAAAAATGTATGATTTTGTGTATGTTTTCTTACATTTTGGCGGCTAGACACTAATTTTAAACAATTTTTATTAATTTCATGCAGTTCTAACATCTTGAATACTAAACACAAGCTCGAAAGGCTGGTTTTACTTGTGAAAGAAAATCCCAATACTCTGTTGGCACGATCTCTGAGAACAAAATCGTAGCGCTGTTGATAGTTTTAAAATATTTTAAATAGATTTGGCTCACAAACGCCTCTTTAGATGGTCGGAACTTTTTAATGAATCTGTAGACAAATTTCTTAAATATATTTTATATCAAAATATATTCGAAAGACTAATAAACTTAAACTCTCTTAAACATTTGCTACTCCTGGCCAGTTTACTAAGCTCTCATCCTCTGACGAATCGTTGAACCAGAACTCGTTGTACTCATTTTACTACGTTTTTATAAACTTGCTTTCTTTTTTACTTCATTTTAATTAGAACAAATTTACATAAATATGTATAAGCACACTATTTAGTTTGCTCGATTTGTAAACAAAGCTTCTCAGCGGTGAAAAATATACTATTGTGAACAACCTAAACGAGCGAAATTCACAATAGCGCTATTCTTCATCGAATGAGTGCCATAATACCAAATGCAAATTCGTTCGCTCAGCACTTTCGACCACAGTCGAAAATCGAATGCAACTCATAATAGGGGCCAGAGCAAGAAAATCTTGTATCATCATTTTTAGGGAAGGCAGTGTTCATATTTTGTTGGCTCGGGTAATTAAAAAAATCATCTATAATGAATTCAATTGGCTCGATTACTGGCCGTCTGTTGGAAGAATTTGAACAAATTTAGGTCTAAAAAATTTTGAGGAGTCAGCAACTGTTGTGAATGGGTCCATTTTCCGAAAAGCGTCCATAACTTTTGAATTCAAGCAGGTGAAATTTGAGTAATTCGAAAATACAATACTTAAAAGCTAAGCTATCGGAAGTGAAAGCCGTAGAGAAGATCCATGTGAGCAGCATCTCTTCGCATACCCACTGAACCCCACCATGCTAACGCCTCGGTCCATATGGACAGACCCTATCGAGGCTGCACGCTTCCTGGGTTTACCGCTAGTAGTGCGTAACGCTACAACAATAACAACATCCATTGTGACGTAAACATTTTATTGCCGTCATTCATACCACCTTAAAGAATATTATAAATAGTTTTAGACTTATTTGCAGCATAAAGAATCGTGAGTAGAATTTTATGACGTCTACATATCTTGCGGCGACAAAAGTTGCAAGGTGTGAAATGTCCTTAGCTTCCTAAATAATTCTGTTGGATTTTTCACAAACCCCTAGGTTTATAAGGTCCGGCAAGTGCACAACTTCAACAGGGGCTGCCCATAAGGACAGGGGCGTTAGCTGGGTGGGGTTTTGGGGGAATGCAAAGAGGTGCCGTGAGACATGTGGCGACTCTCCGCATGCCGGGCACTCATTGGACCATCTGCGTTCACTCTGCTCATGTACGAGTTTAGCCTGCTGCAGTATCCAGAGCGAAGTTGAGCTATTGTGGTGCGGTTCTTCCGAGGCAGACAAAATTCCGTTCCGTCCACGTCGGGTGGTTGTGTGCCCAAAACGGCATTCACAGGTGGGGAGTCTATGTAACTCGAGACCTACTCCCAGTGAATGCCGTTCAAGGCCTTTCGGTATGCAGTTGGGTCCAGAGGTTGTTTTATGAACCTCTGGACTTCGTCCAGATCGACCACGCTCCATTTTTAAAGTATCGGGACTGAGTACTCCAAAGAACTCAGTACTCAAAAAATATACTGTTCTCAGGATCGATTCAAGGTACTCAGTATTAAGTGTCGAATAGATACTTAAAAGCGTGATACAAAAAATAAGGTAGTTTCAATAAACAACTTTCTGATTAAATAGGAGATTTTTGACAATTGCTCAATTGTAAAAAATTTGAAGCGGCGTTACCAAATTCAGTTTTTTAGTGGAGGGGATNGGAGATGCCCGCGTCTTTGGCATCCTACTAGGAGCTAGTGTTAGGCAGTATCGATACCAAAAGTACTCAGAACTCGATTCTCAAAAGGGTCGACCACGCTCCATTTTTAAAGTATCGGGACTGAGTACTCCAAAGAACTCAGTACTCAAAAAATATACTGTTCTCAGGATCGATTCAAGGTACTCAGTATTAAGTGTCGAATAGATACTTAAAAGCGTGATACAAAAAATAAGGTAGTTTCAATAAACAACTTTCTGATTAAATAGGAGATTTTTGACAATTGCTCAATTGTAAAAAATTTGAAGCGGCGTTACCAAATTCAGTTTTTTAGTGGAGGGGATTTTATATCCTAAATTTGGGAATATAAACAAAATTGTTGTATTAACACTTATCTCTTAAAAATAATTAATATTTAATCTTAAAAACGTTCAAGTTTTACATTAAATTCGATAACTATTTACTTGCCAAAATCTTTATTTTTACATTAATAAAATTGTGGTGAACATATTTTAACAATTTTTTAGTGTCATTATGTCATCTGATTATTACACAATACGATACGATTGTTTCTGATATAATTGAGAGACTGAAATTACACATTTCGATATTGTCTTTGTCCATGTCTTTCAAGTAACTTGAAAACGGATTTACTTTGAAACCCATGCTCATTACTTTAAGAGAAGTGAATCTTAGCCAATTCCAGTAAATTTCGACAATATCGTTGTTTCTTTGGGTAAAAATAAATTGAAAAATTGGGTATAATCATCATTTTGACAGGGAGAATGTAAACTCGGGTTACGCTAACCAGAGGATTTTTGCGCAAAATACGTTTCCACGTTGTAGGCTTTCGGCAGCGGTTCGAAAAAATAACCCTCATCAGTCCGGCTACGCTGACCACAGTATTTTTTACAAAAAGATCCATATTTCAAACCGAAGTTATTCATTAATTTATATCTGAAAATTTGAAATCTTTATTTTAAACTAACGCTTAATTGTTTGACCACACGTGTGTGTTAAAATGTTTTGCTTTGGGTTAAGCGTTTGGACACAATAACCCAAAATTATTGTACAAATAACCTAGCCGTACCCAACAAAATACCTTTTGCTTGTTCAAATTTCGATTGTAAATAAACAAAAAATTAATAATAATAATGGAGGATTTTCGATATTGGATACGGTAGCACGAAATGTCACAATCTACTTAATTGTCAGGTTGTTAATATGGCGACGAAAAAGTGACAATGGAACTACCTTATTTTTTGTATCATGTGTTATTATAAAAATACAAAATAATATGTTGCTATAAAAATATAAGTGCTTTAAAATACAAATTTTTTCATTTGAATTAAGAATAAAATCGATGGATAAATAAAGAAGTTGTGCGTGTACAAATGAAAATGCGCAATATTGTTTTGTATGAAATAGTATGAGCAGGAAATAAGGTTACTCATACGCCATGTATATTTTTTCTTAATTTGTACTCTGTTAAAGTTAGATTTTTTTTTTAATATGAACAATATAGGGAAGAGAAGAATTTGTTTACTTTTCATTTGCTATATTTCGTATTAAGATAGTCGACCTGGTTCGTCAGATATAGTACGTAATTAAGTGGTGCCGCTTTTTTTAGTTGAAGAATGGTAAATTACAAATATTTCGAAATTCTCTCGATAAAAAAACTAACCCGATTTTCGGAATCAGCAAGCGATTTTACATGTGAATTGAACAGTGGCTTCCGATGCACATTTTTGTTGTACGCCACGGTAATCACCACGGTAATTTGTTTGAACGACAANTTTTTTTTCTTAATTTGTACTCTGTTAAAGTTAGATTTTTTTTTAATATGAACAATATAGGGAAGAGAAGAATTTGTTTACTTTTCATTTGCTATATTTCGTATTAAGATAGTCGACCTGGTTCGTCAGATATAGTACGTAATTAAGTGGTGCCGCTTTTTTTAGTTGAAGAATGGTAAATTACAAATATTTCGAAATTCTCTCGATAAAAAAACTAACCCGATTTTCGGAATCAGCAAGCGATTTTACATGTGAATTGAACAGTGGCTTCCGATGCACATTTTTGTTGTACGCCACGGTAATCACCACGGTAATTTGTTTGAACGACAAAGCAAACTTAAAATGAAAATCTTGGAAAAATGGAAAAAGTAATTTTTAAGCAAAAATTGAAACCGACTCAACACTCATATACAAATTTAGGAGTACCGTTAATTTCTGAATGACAGAATGATCGGAACTTCGCCAAATTAGCATGGTGCCAGCCTTGAGGTACCACCATTCCAATAAAAAAAAAAAAATATTAATTGAAAATGGCTTATGTGGC